CTGCCTTTGGCTCGGGTCATGATCCTGGAGTCCCTGGATCGAGTCCCGCATCGGGCTCCCTGCTCGGCGGGGAGTTTGCTTCTCCCTCTGACCCTCCTCCCTCTCATGCTCTCTTGTCTCTCATTCTCTCTCTCTCAAATAAATAAAATCTTTAAAAAAACAAATGCTTTTGTTTATAGCCTTCCATGTATTACTAATTTTTTAAAAGAGCTTTGTAGTAGTTACGACCTTTATTTTAAAAAGTAAGAAAATAAGGATGACACAAGTCAAGTAGCTGGCCCTAGTTTGCCCACGGTTTTGACCAGCTCAACAGTGGTGGCAGCAAAACAGTCAGCTGTTCAAATGTCAATGTCCCCACTGTCTGAGGAATCCATCCCGGGGCCCATGCTACCCTTTCTCCCCACCTGCCCTGGCTGAGGAGAGTGTCTGAAAGGAGAATGGGTCTGGGGCTGAGGAAATTCTTTCCCACTATTGCCAACAACCTCTCTGGTGCGACCGCCATGTGGCGTGCCCTCCTGGGTCTGCATCCTGACAGCGGGGAAGGTGCTCGCAGGAGGTGGGAGCACAGCTGCTCTCCTACCCTTGGTGCTGATGCAAAGCACCAGGGAAGGGAGTACACAGGTGTCAGCCGAAGCGCTTACCAGGTCGTACAAGGAAAACAAATCCCAGATACTTTTTAATTTAACTCTGATTTCAGCGTAGTAGAGTATACCTGCCTGTAGTAATAGATTCAATTTAAAAAAGTAAATGAGACCAAACATATAATGGGTGTAAAAATTTTTAATCAAAAGTTACTGGAACACTAAAAACAAAATTCAGTAGTGTTTGCCACTTCTGGTTACTAAGAGTAATGACCCCAAAACAGACCCACTGGTTTCTATGCGGCAGACCACACAACATGCAGATGCACCAAGGCCAACAGTCTTACAGACTCTTCCAGCTGGAGAGAGCTTTGAGGATGTTCCCACCACTGCCCCCATTTTACAGCTGGGCCCACGGATCCGAATTCTCCAAAAGTCATACTCCCAATTTGTTCCCACATGTTATTCTATTTAAAATCATAAAACACTCTCCTAAAATGGGGCCATGGAGATCATACAGTCTTTCTTCACTTGTATTATTAATTTTTAAAAATAACGTTACAGAAAATGTAGAAAACATAATTTTAAAAAGCCACCTATAGTCCCAGCAACCGAACACAAAAACCAGTATGTGTATGCGCTGCCTTCTGGACTTAGAGCTTCTTCATTTTTGAGTTGAGGAAGTGAGGCTTGGGGAAGGAGCGTGTGGAGTGAACTCGCCTGTGAGCACACAGGCAGAGCCTCTGGAGTTCACATGCCAACCTGCCTCTGCGTGTGAGCACAGGGCTGTTCCCACTACTCTGTGCCATTTATAAGACCAAGGGAGTGCTGGCTAAGATGTAGCCTACTCACCAAGCTATTCTTAAAACTAGATCCTTATTAAGGAGAAATCATAAAATGTTTCTCTCTCTCATACACAAAACAGATGGTCAAAAAAGGGATGAAGGAAATCTAAACTGTACAGTCATCTTTTAACATATCAGACATTAAAATATGTCAAATCTTATGTATCAAAAAATAAATTCAACCTAGGAAATAACAGATTCCTTCTTATTAAAAGGACACCTTCAGGGGCAGGAAAGAATATGTGGGAAAGTTTGCTCTCTCATAATGGAAGCTTACTAAATGGCAGAAAGAGCGCGCTAAGAAAAACATCTGCAGAACAGAACGCGTGTTAACACAGCTCAGGAGCATCAGAGGAAGAGTATCTGTGTACGTGTGGCTCCAGCAGGAAGGCACTGGGGCAGACCCATCACTCAACCTTTCCTCTGTGCGTCTACCAGCTCTCAGCAATTTTACTGACCCAGGAGATCCCCATGTGGGGAGACACCACCTCCAGGCAGGCACTGACCTCTCCTCCCGCTCCCGCTTCTGTTTCCGAGCATGGCGGTCCATCACACTGGTTTTAGTCCTCGTCTTCTTCCAAGAGTAGTAAAATTTCACCAGACTTGCTATAGATTTATCAGGAAGCTAAACATAAAAACTAAGTTGGTTTCGATTTAGAGCGAATCTTCCCAAATCAAGCAAGTGTGCTTATTAGGTATGGTTAAGGGTTGTCTCACGCACCCAGAAATGTCCTAAGTCACAGCCCTTTTCTCTGAGAAGGAGATTCAAAAAGAAGTCTTACCAATACATTCCAAACTAGTGCAGTGTGACTGGAAGTGACACTTGGCCCAGGAAAGATTGCTAAAGCAGTCAGAGATGAATCCAAGGATTTACCTAAAGTTTCTAGCCTAACTCTCGGGTTATTTTTTAAAAATTCATTTTAGCACTCATGTAACCACCAATGAGCTTTCCTAGTAGGACTCCACCAAATAGCCTTCTAGAATGTAAGAGATAAGCAAACCTTCCCCAGGCAGATAGGGTTTCATGATGCCCCACCTCATCAAACAACCATCAAAGAAGCTTTCTATCAGACTAATCTGGGGAGTCCCAACAAGAGAGACGGGGATGGGGGTGGAGGAGGGCTTCTGTTACAGCTGCTATCAAGCTGGAAGTGCTAGGAAATGATTCACTCTTGTAATGTAAAGCCTCTTATCCACCCCGCAGCAGGTATGAACTATCTAAAGGGAGCTTTATTAAAAATGAGAATATTCAGGGGTGCCTGGGTGGCTCAGTCGTTAAGCGTCTGCCTTCGGCTCAGGTCATGGTCCTGGGGTCCTGGGATCGAGCCCCGCGTCGGGCTCCCTGCTCCGCGGGAAGCCTGCTTCTCCCTCTCCCACTCCCCCTGCTTGTGTTCCCTCTCTCGCTGTGTCTCTCTCTGTCAAAAAATAAATAAAACCTTTAAAAAAAAAAAATGAGAATATTCATGCTTGCGGTTATCCCTACCCTTCGGGTATGCTACAGTGAAGAGAGGCTGGGGAAAAGAGAAAATACAGTGGTCTCATTTACTTACCATCTGTTGGATTCTATGAAAAGTTTTCCCATGAAAACTAAAGGCTTGTTCAAACAAGACTTTATCTTCCACAGTCCACTCATCTGGGAAGGGGGTAAAGTTGGGCAAATCAGCCAATGACTTTTCAATATTATGCTTATGCCAAAAGAGCATCCCAAGAGCCTAGAAAAATAGTATCAGTGAAATTTTAGACCAAAGGCAGGAGTGAAACATTAAAATGGCAATGAGATTAGCAAAAGAAGAGCCTGTGCTTCCCTGCAAGCAGACCAGACTGCCATGTGACTAAGGGGGTCTACGCCCGCCTACACACGGGCGGCTGTGAGGCAGGTTCCATTATGCTCACTTCTCAGATTAGAATACGGTGGCCTGAGAAATTAAGTCCTTGCCAACGGTCCAGTGTGGAAGGTAGGTGAAGAGGCAGTGTGGCTCCTGAATCTGTGCTCTTAGAAGGTCACAATCGAATGCCTCCATATACAATAGGACAAAGTAACTCATAAAAGCACTTAATTGGGGGTGCCTGGGTGGTGCAGCTGGTTAGGCTCCGACTCTTGGTTTCGGCTCAGATTGCAATCTCAAGGTCATGAAATCAAGCTGCATGTCAGGCTCCATGCTCAGCATGGAGTTTGCTTAAGACTCTCTCTCCCTCTGCACCGCCCCCCACCTCGCTCGCTCTCTCTAAAATAAATAAATCTTCTAAAAAAAAATTTTTTTAAAAGATTTTATTTATTTATTTGACAGAGACACAGCAAGAGAGGGAACACAAGCAGGGGGAGTGGGAGAGGGAGAAGCAGGCTTCCCACGGAGCAGGGAGTCTGACGCGGGGCTCGATCCCAGGACCCTGGCAACATGACCCGAGCCAAAGGCAGACGCCTAATGACTGAGCCACCCAGGCGCCCCTAAAAATTTTTTTAAAAAGTAATCGTTCTGTTATTCTTTTGCCGAAAAAGCTCAAAAATAGTTTTGTTTTATGGTGGTTTTTTTTTTTTGGTAGCTCAGAAGGGAGAAAATATTCAAATGGGTGAGGGACAAACTGGAAAAAAGAGAGATAATTCAGCAATTTTTTCCTGAGAAAACTTTCTATAACTCCAAAGTGAGGATGATCATACTTTTGAAGATCAGAATCCTTAAAAATTCATACAAGTATATTTAGCAATCACCAATTTTTTTTAAGGTTTTATTTTTATTTTTAAGTAATCTCTACACCCAACGTGGTGGCTCAAACTCACAACCCTGAGATTAAGAGTCCCATGCCCTTTCGACCGAACCAGCCAGATGCCCAATTGCCGAGTAATTTTTACACTTTCTAAATAGAATTTATAATTGGTGATGTTTGGGGCACCTAGCTGGCTCAGTCAGTGGAGCATGTGACTCTTGATCTTGGGGTTGTGAGTTTGAGTCCCACATTGGGTGTAGAGATTACATAAAAAAATCTTAAAAAAAAAAAATTGGTGATCTGAGCAACTTCGTGAAGTTCATGAGTAGGGTTTGGAAAAAGAGAAAGCATACATCTCTTGCTTTGAAAGATTCTGGAACTATCTCATTGTAATTGGCTTTCCTAACAAATTCTACCAGGGTAGAATAATTAAAAGTAACACCAGGGCTAAAAGAAAGAGTCAAATTCTATATAATGTAACTTAGTGGTACCCTCAGTCATGAGGATGAATGCTAGAAACTGACAGGTTTTAATATCTAGATCAATGCCAAAGCACTAATCCAACTTAATATACTTATTTTTAAAACAGTAATTAGAAATAAGGCAGGCACAGGATTATTATCACACTTTGAGCAAAATTAATTTCATATATTTCTCATTAATAGGTTCCAAGCAATTTTTAAAAGAAAACCTTAGTCCAATTTCACAACCTGAAAGTGATTCAAAACAACTGATATGAAAACACTGTGAGTCTGTGTGGGTCTGAGTGTGACAACACGGGGTCAGGAGAAAAGCCAACACACAAACACACAAATGACAAACACACCATGTATTCAAATAGGGAAGACTTATGCCCAAGTATCTGGGCACCCTGGAGCTACTCTGGAGCAACAGGCGCCATAGATCTCCAAACCCGCAGAAAGACACAGGTGCTTTTCAAATCAAAGGCTCCTCTAATACTCATCTCAAGCAGAAAAGGGGGGCTGGAGCCTCAATTTGCTAGTGACCACCAAAAATTTGCACTGCTACTCAACACACAGAACACAAACAATTTAACAGGTCAGCTACAACCCCACCCCCTTTAAAAATAGAAACTCATCCTGAACAACAAAAGAAAACCACGTCATTACCTGTTCCATGTTGTATCCATGCTTCTCTTTAGCGATGGCAATGTATTCATCTACTGAAAAACAAGACAAGAGGCCAATAAACAAACGGAGGGGCAGGAAACAACAGTCTAGGAGCACTAGAGTTGTATATATGTTTCAGGCCTGCCATGCACAGGAATAAAAATAAAGAACAAAGTCCATTATGGATCTTACATATATAAATCCCACAGAGGAATGGCTCAAAATATACTCAAGTATTAACAGTACTTGGCTCTGGATGGGAAGACTATGATTCTTCCTTTTTTTTTTTTTTTAACTTGCTTCTACTTAAATTTCCTATGATAAATATTATTTTGGTACTCTGAAAGATAATTAAAAGAAATAAAAAGAAGTATTAAAATTGGGGGGTTTGTTTTTAGTCTCAGCCAAAGCTGAAAAACAAGCCACTTATCTTTATATTAAAAAAATCTAAGAGATGAATTACATGAACCAGTGCCTGGTATTTGCTTTCAAATTCCAACACAAGGCGACAAGCGCCGACTTTCAAGTACTAAGGGTAATGCCAAGGAAAACTGACTGACTCAATCTCCAGGAGAAGTTAACACACCCCCGAAGTTACTTCCTCTCTACATTTTCTAGTCTTTTTTCCAGGAATAAAAGAGACTACCAATCAATAACAACACTTCATTATATTCCTGTATAGCTCTTTTTTTTGGGGGGGGGGGTAAATTACAAAAAATAACACAGGCTCCCAAAAAAACCCCAAAAAGCAAAAACCAAACCAAACAAAAACCAACCACCGAAAACAAAAAATTAAAAAAAAAGCCCAAATAGCACAGAACTCTCTGAAACAAACAGTAGTTTCCCATTGGCCTGTGCCTCTCTCTGGAGACCCTCAGCCTCACTCTCCAGGTGTGGCAGACTTGGAGATGCACACTGGAGGAGACCAAGATGCACATGGCAACACACTAGACCCTGAGGGATGGACTGCAGGTCAGATGATAAAAACTAAGTAATGAGGTGTGTTCAAGCCAAGGCTATGTCAGGGGAGAAGAGAAAAACAATCTACGGTGAACTGAGGGTCAACCCCAAAGAGGGTCTGCTCTAAGGGTGGTTTCTTTTAATAGATATTTGGTAAATGAACTCAAACTTCTGCTGTACAACCTCAACTCTGCAAGCATACACATTTCCAAACACTATTATACCCCTCAGCTGAGTGAGGAACGTGTGACGCGTGCGCGGGTCCCCCCCCCCCCGCGCAGTCACGTGACCCGCCAGCAGCTGCCCGCACAGGCTGGCCAAGGGGGCAGACGCTATCTGCTCTGTCAGCAGCAGGGCCAGTAAGCCTGTCCCCATGGTCTCCAACCAGATTTAGCTTAAAAATTACATGCAAAACCAAAGCATTCTTTGGATGCTACTCTATTTTCATCTGCTTCTTTGCTTTCTAACATAAAAATTAGCTGGTGGTAGGAAGAGTAAAATTCCGAGCGTTGCAGCTAAGTTTGGACAGAACATTTTCCATGTTGTAAACAGCAAGGTATTCTTAGTAGGTACCTTTAAAAATCACACCTCTTTTAGATTTTCTTGGAGACTAGCCTGAGGAATCAAATCTAAGGAAGAAAGAATTCTATCAGAACCACTTACGGGAAGTCACTTGGTATCTCTACCAGGTGCCCTGAAGGTGTGACCCCAGTAAGTTCATACATGGGGAGGGTTGCAACTTGCCAAAGAATTACCATCTGATACCCACTGGCAAAAATACAATTTTTCATTCTTTTTATTGCCCCCAGTGTCTAACAGAGATTAAACAGTTTGCTAAATAAATGCTAGGGGTGCTGTGATGTGTAGAGTGTCACCGAAAAGAAAGGCTCTTTTCTAGCAAGGTGAGAGGCAGTAGAGCTTAGCGATGTGGTTAAGAAAGACAGAGGTCCGGGGCGCCTGGGTGGCTCCGTTGGTTAAGCGACTGCCTTCGGCTCAGGTCATGATCCTGGAGTCCCAGGATCGAGTCCCGCATCGGGCTCCCTGCTCAGCAGGGAGTCTGCTTCTCCCTCTGACCCTCCCCCCTCTCAAGCTCTCTCTCATTCTCTCTCTCAAATAAATAAATAAAATCTTAAAAAAAAAAAAAAAAAGAGGTCCAGTCTTGGCTCTGTCTCTAGACAAAACGAGCTGACAGACAGTGGTGCTTGATGTATAAGTAAGAACTACAGTCTAAACTGTGTTACCTTTAGCAACTTTCCTGACCTTCCCAGGAAGGAGCTCTCCCCAGGAAGGAGCTCTCCCCAGTAAAGCTGCATCATCACCTATCTGAAAAACAGCAGAGTAGAAGTCCTCCTGCAATGTTTTCGTCTGGAGTGAATTCAGAAACCAAGCCATGTGCTCGCACAAAGGATGCTGCTGACAGCCTGGTCTCTGACTGCTTCCCTACTGTATATAGGTAGTCCTCAGCTCTCGTTCCCTTTCACGATCAGGGCGACAGGGCTTCCCACCACAGTTTTTAGACTCCCATCTTCTCTACCACCTACCCTCCTGGCTCCTTTACAGAGTGCATGCCAGTAGGGCATGATGAAAACGGAACGTGTGCATTTTCAAAACTTCCCACATACTTTCCTTAAGCAAAAATAAGCTTTCAACCTAAGACAATAAAACCCACTCCCATATGCCTTCATAAAAACAAAGGATGACCAGATACTTCAGGCTGTGGATGAAAGATGAAACAGGAAGGGACACAAGAGAAATACAAGCTACTTGAGACCAAGAGCTCTAAAACAAAGAACACAGGGTTCCTTGGGGATTTTTCCAGTACTTTCTCATCTCTGGCAACAGGGATCCTGATTTCATCTCTAAGAAATTAAAGGTTAACCAGAGTCAGTCCCAATCTGGCGGTGAGGAGTCACTCCAGGCAGAGAGTCATCAAGCTGTGATTAGGACAATGCACAAAGTCCACGTGGCTTAAGGAAATGCCGGGACATTTCTAAGGCCCGGTCATTTATATCCACCAGCCTTCCCCAACTTGGGCACAGGGGACAGAACCAGACAGTCATCTGGGTGCAAGAAGAAGCTGAGCTGACATTCTCATCTGTCGGTGAGAAGCAGAAAGATCAGTCACTAAGTATACTCTCCTTTAAAAAAACAATTCCAGGGGCACCTGGGTGACCACGTCAGTTAAGTGTCCAACTCTTGATTTCTGCTCAGGTCATGATCTCAGGGTCCTGAGGTCAAGCCCTGCATAGGCCCCGCGCTCTGCGGGGAGTCTGCTTAAGATTCTGTCTCTCCCTCGCCCTCTGCCCCTTCCCCCACTCGCATGCTCTTTAATATAAAATCTTTTTAAAAAAATTTTAAAAATGTATAATGCGGTATTTCTTTTTAAAACTGATTTTTTTTTAAAGATTTTTATTTATTTATTTGAGAGAGAGAGAGAATGAGAGAGAGCACATGAGAGGGGGGAGGGTCAGAGGGAGAAGTAGACCCCCTGCCGAGCAGGGAGCCCGATGCGGGACTCGATCCAGGGACTCCAGGATCATGACCTGAGCCGAAGGCAGTTGCTTAACCAACTGAGCCACCCAGGCGCCCAAACTGATTTTTTTTAAAGATTTTTTTTTTTAATTTATTTATTTGAGACACAGAGATACAGAGAGAGAGGGAGAACATGAGCAGGGGGAGAAGCAGAGGGAGGGGGAGAAGCAGAGGGAGAGGGAGAAGCAGGCTCCCCGCTGAGGGGCTTGATCCCAGGACCCAGGGATCATGACCTGAGGCGAAGGCAGACACTCAACCATCTGAGCCACCCAGGCGCCCCTATAATGCGGTATTTTTAAAAACTTGAATATCCTATGGAAACAACCAAAGAGAACTATTTGATCTTAAATTATGATGGATAAAGTTATGTATCACTCCGATTCTTTAAGAAGTATACAGACTGTACAAACCACTGGCTTTTTTGACAAGAACTTAGCATTACGGAAAGCACAGGTAAATGAGTTATGTTTTGGCATAACATCACTTAAAGGGAGAATGTGAGATTCATCAAGAAAATTTATAAAATTCCTTAAAAAAACCCAAAAAAACAGTAAGAAAGAAAATTTACAAAATTCCTAAAGCCTAGTCAAACATTTATTGAACTACCCTTACTCTGTACAGAATACTGTACTAAGTAGCAGGCCAAAATACAGAAGAAAAACAAACTGATTTCCTGAACTAGCTTGAAACAATACACAAGTAACAGAGAACAGCAATACATAAAGTAAACAGTACAGTACAGATGTAGACTAGCATGGGAATCCAAAATAATCAGTAAATAATGATGGTAATGATGTTAAATCAAGATAAGCTTCCTGAAGATTCAACAGCTATATTGATTAAGTAATAACAATAGCTAATATTTGAGAATTTACTATGTGCCAGCCACTGTTCTAAGCTCTTTACAAGGATTATCTTTTTAATCCTCTCCAATAATTCTATTATCACTCCCATTCATAAATAAAGAAACTGAGGCTCAGAGAAGTTAAGTAATTTGGCCAAGTGACACAGCTGGTAAATAGCAGAAAGAGGACTTATATACACGCAGAGTGTCTGACCACAGGACCCACGATATTAAACCACTATATGCTATCCTACCTCTTGAGTAAAGGACACGGCGGGAGAAGGGCACTCAGATAAGAACAGTCTCCATGGTACAGAGAACTGAGCAAGACTAACCAATATTGTCTATGTCGTCTGAATAGAGTTAAGAAAATAAAACTGCGGTTGATGACGGAAGTGATGGAAAGCAAGGTTAACAGGCAAAAGGCTGCCTTGCAATAGGCATCATTTGCTTCTATATTCTTGTTTCTATCCGATGAACTAAATGTCTTCAGTTCCATTAGTGAGAGTCTCAAACTCAACTGCAAAAAAGGGAAAAATGCAGATGAAAGTTGCCACAGTAACCTGAGCTCCCCCACTCCTCCCTCCTCTAGACACTGCAGAGACTCAGGACACCTTGTGATCTTGCATATTCTATTCAGAGCAAGAGGCTGACACCATAAGGTGGGTTGAGGACAAAGCTATAACCTCAATACAGTTTAAAAAAAATTTTATTATC